TAAAATCTGTCTAAATGTGAGACTGGATCAGAATAAACACCACAGGGAAATCCACAGAATAATAATAACAACAATAAAGCTATATAGGATGGCAGCGTTGTAGACATTGCCTATCATTATGAAACATCAGCAGGGACACTGTGGAAAGGAGAAACCCAGCGAAGGTGCTATTGGAGCACATCACCGCATCAGCAGACTTCTCTTGGTCTTAATGCTAATGCAGTTCTTCCCCCACCATCCCCCCCCAAACACACATGCACGCACACACACACACACCTATACATGCGGGACTTGCCATGCCCAAGAGGAGAGGCAGGTATGGATTGTGTAGTTAGAAAGGACACTTCAGTTTGTTACCTCCTGTTCTGCCAAAATAAACCGTTCAATGCCAAATGATTTCTGTTGTGAGCCAGCGGCAGCTTTCATTTGAGGCACTTCGAATGGATGTGACAGTTCCAGTTTGAAGACAGCTCTGTTTTCCCCAGATCTCTGTCGGGGTGATGCTCATCATTAGACTTCAAACGTGCACACAGCTCCCTCTCACATGCATACATCTATATATATATATATATATATATATATATATATATATATATATATATATATATATATACCAGACCCTGGTAAGTGACTATCCCTGGGAGAAGCTCCTGGATGGGACTGTTGGGTGTGTAGGTGAACCTATAAAGTCCCTTTCCCGGTGGAAACCTCCCCAAGGCATTGTAAGTGTGTTTGTATGTACACACGCGCGTCTGTGTGGCTTCCTTTCTGTACATGCCACCAGTTTCTCGGAGGGAGATGGTCTCAGTGAAGCGTGAGTGGGAGGCTGATTTCCCCAACTGCAGTGCTCGCTCCAATCTAACTTCCCACTCATGCTCCCTGCTTTGTTAGATATTTCTTAAGTAACTCTCTTTCACGCTCTCGCATGCACGGCAGCCAGACAGCAGAAATGGGTGTGTGTTGGGTGGGGAAAGCGAGTGTGCATCTGAGCGCCTGTCGTAATGTATTGCTGATGTATTTTTGCACACAGACATGCAGAACGTCTGGGTTTCTCCAGCAGATCCCTGGAGGAGGATGTCTTTCCCAGCCCATGTGCCAGTTCACAGCCAACACACGCACACGCGTGCACACACACGCACCTTCACTCACAGTATTCCTGTAGGGTCAGCGTGTCACCAGGCATGCTCACAGTGCTCCATCACTTCCTTCCACTGGGACAATAACTGTGACTTCCTGAGGATCGACCTTCACCAACTCACTTCTGTCACTCTTCACATGGGCATGTGTGTGTGTGTGCGCTGCCAGGGGGAGAGAGCAGCAGCAGCAGCAGCAGCAGCAGCAGCAGTGTGTGCTTGTGCATGTGTGTGTGGGTGTGTTGCTCAGTGTGTGTCGGGCTGCCTTTTTCAGCTGACTCCTCTGTTTCTGGTTTTTAATGGCTCTTATGGGGCAGGCCTTTAATTGTAAGTCTCTCTCTTTCCCTCTCTCTGTCTTAATCCTCCCATCCTTCTGTCCACCCCACCTCCGCCAGCTCCTCATCTCCTCCCCCTTCTCTCCTCTCTGCTCCCACCTCCCGCTGGCTGACAGTCACTAGGGGAGCCCGAGTGCCTGGCCAGAGCCGTGGAGGCTGTATAGGATATTGACTTGCTGCAGAGTGGTTTGGGAGGAGGAGAGGTGGCTGCCTGTCACAGCTAATGAATAGATGCATAAATGAATGAGGCACTCCTTGTGTGCTTGTGTGTGTGTGTGTATGTCATTATGCCAACCTATGGCTACAGAGTCTCACCAAAGTAATCTCACCACTGAACTTTTTCACGTGTTGTAACATTACAAGCAAACACTCAAGTGCTTTTTAGGGATTTTACACAAAGTCGGACATAACTGTGAGTTTCTGAAGAAGGATGTGAGATTTAAGCCAATCCACTCTGGATGTGTGTTTAGGGCGACCTCCGCCCCATCAGCCTGAAGTGTTTTGCTCCCTCTAACAGGTTTTCTTAAAGGTTGGCCCTGTATTTATCTTCATCCATCTTCTCATCAACTCTGGCCAGCTTCCCCGTCCATGCTGCCGTTTCCCTGTGGTTCACCTTGAAGATTTTGTGTACAAGGTGTTGAACACCGTCAGTTTTCTGCCACACAACGCGTTTCTGCAAGCAGGTCAAACAAGTTTAATTTGGGTCTTTTTTTTTTTTTTCTTTTTTTTTGTTGTCTAGAGCACTGCCTCCCTCCACATGTTTGGTTTTTCTCCCTTAAAGTCCGTGACAGACTGTAAACATCACATTTCATGGTGTACTTTCAAAAATGGGATTCTTTTAGCCTATTTCCCCAAAAAACTAAATATGTGGAGTATGTAATTACCACAGTAGTTTTCCCACCTGAGCTGTGGATCTCTGCAGCTCCTCTGAAGACCAATAGCAATTACTTGATTATTGAAGTAACGGTCAATTAATTTAGTAATTAATTAATCCCCGGCTGAAGTAGTCTAAATATGGCCGCTTGAAAGAACAACACAGTAATTAAGCTAACACTATCCAAAAAATACACGCATATTGCATTTAAAATAATAATAATAAACATTTATCTGTAAATACGTTCTACCAAGAACTCCTCAGATAGCATGATTTTAATGTCACCTGGTTCAAAGTGCGTAAAAAAATAAAATAAAAATCTCCTGTTCGGCACCTTTTGCTGTCCAATTATTAATAAAAAAGTATTAAACATATTAGTAAACAGTATTTTTTTAAATTGCAGGTGCAATCTTTGCTACCAATAATCAAGTGCCCGCTAAATAAATGCTGTTATTGAATCTTAGGTAATAAAATGTTTATTTTCATATTCAAAAAAGTAATTGAAAAATGTTTATTTGCGTCGTTATATGTATTTTTAATATCGTGATAATAGGCTTTAGTTGTTAAAGAAAGAATCTGCAAAATATGCCTTTTTTTCTGAATAATCGATTAATCGTCAGAATAATCAATAGAAGAATCAATTAGTAAAATAGTCTGTTACTAACCAAACATAGTAAAGTTTATCCTTTGGTTTTCATAATGATGTTTGTTCACTACTGCTCTCTAACACACCTGAGACCTTACACTCAGTGAGACTCTATTATTTATAAGGTTTGTATTAGATTTTTATTTTGGGGTGTCAGATTAAAAGTGGCCATGCAAATTAATCCATCCGTTTTTCTCTTCCACAGTTTAGTTCTCCAACATTTTGTCTTGGTCCAACACATCGATCCAAATAATATATGTTAAAGTTTGTGGTGGGACTGGGCGATTTTTTTCAGTTCATTAAATTTCGTTTTGTTTTTTAAGATTAAATTGTTGGAAAATCAGGCATTTTTTTCACAAAGCATCCTTTAGATTTCCGTAGTTCAGAGTGATGTTAGCCCAACCGAGAGTTACCATCTTTGTGTTTTACAGCTTCTGTTTATTTCAACTTTAAATTCAGATCAATTCACAGAATGATAGAAATAAAACACTGTTTTTTTTTAAAAGATATGTTCTGTCTATTTTTTGTTTCAGGGGGGAAAAAAAAGGTGGTAAAAAGATTTTCTCTTTAAGTCATATGCCCCAGCTCTGTAGTGGTTGGTAAATTGCAAATGTGAAAAAGTTCAAGCGGTGTGTTTGCTTCTTTGTATTCAAGTACAGACTCTATCCTCTGAGCCTTTTATTTACCTTGTACAGACACATTCTCAAGCCAGCTATTGATAATTATGAAGGGTGCGATAGCAGTCTCTCCCACACCCACACACGTATATATAAATACCGATATAAATTCAGAATGAGCCAGTGGGGGGCCTTGGAGGTGAGGATCAAACTGAGGATACAAAAAAAACTCCTATCCAGTTAAGTGTCAGCACCCTCCAGCTGCTCTGTACTTCTCCCGCTCACCTCCTTCCCCCTCCACATCTCAAATCTTTTGTCATATTGGTGTCGAGCCGGGGAGCTCTCATGCCAAACTGGGACACACACACACACGCACGCACACACACACACCAAGACACAGAGGATAAGAGAGAAAGAAAGTCTAGAGAGGAGACTGTTGATCTGAGGGGGCAGATGAAGGAGTGCTGGAGTGTTGATGTCGTCCTCACTATTGCTTTGTGCCACATTTCAAAAGCTGATTGCCTTAAGAGGATAATTTACATTTCATAGTCTTTCCCAACAAGTGGGTGAGATGGGAGTCGATGATAGACGGATAGAGAGTGATGTTTGAAGGAGGAAACCAGAGGTGAGAAAGTTCAGCGAGCAAAGAGAAAAGGCGGAGTTGCACGAGCAACTAAAAAGCATGAGGTACAAACAGCAATTGCTTTTGGATGCATTTCTTTATGTCTGTGTTTGTGCGCATGTGTGCGTGTGCGTGTGTGTGTGTGTGTGTGTGTGTGTGTGTGTGTGTGTTTGGATGTTTTGTTTTTTCCCCCGCTCTCGGTAAAATGCACCTGCATGATTTGAGTTTCCCTTTTCCTTGTTGGATTCACATGAGCAAGAAGAGAAGAATTGTGAAGAGGAAAGATGAGGAAATGAGATGAGATTCGGAGGAATTAAGAGTGGAGTTAGGAAGAGGCTTTATCTGAATGGCAAACTGCAAAGTGCAAGAAAACTTTTCCTATCAGCGTACTCTCTGAGCAGGTTTATAGGCCTGCACCCCCTGTGTATGTGAATATATATATGTGTGTGTGTGTGTGTCTGTTTATATAGTGCAAGTGTGTGTATTTAGGAGATAGCTTTTCCTCCCCAGTGGAAGAGGAAAAGTGAAGTGTGATTGGTTGCTGGCCCTGGGGGTCTGTCCTCTGTATCTGCCTCCTCACTGGCTGCTCTGTGACCAATCAGGTGGCCGAACCTCACCTTGGCAATCAGATAGTGACACTCTCTCTGTGGGCATCAGCAGGTCATCTGGAAATACTTGTTATGTGTTATCTCCCTGTAACACACACACACGCACACTCTGCCGGGGATGTACACACACCAATATAACCTCTCTGTCTTTCTCTGTCTGTCTAGGAGATTGCTGCGTATCTCATCACTTTTGAGAAACACGATGAGTGGCTGACGACATCGCCAAAAACCAGGTGAGCAGAGAACAGATGATAATTTATACACACCTGCCACCGCACGTTTTTGTTTTTTTTAACCCCGTATTTGCATTAAATAACATGATGTATGCTACAAACGAGGGCTGTTCCTGACACAGAACCGAGTCACTTCAGATCAGGTGTTTGCAAACGCAGAGTCCAATACTTTTTTTTTTTTTTAAAGTTAGTAAAATCAAATCCTTGTAATTAGTGTTACATTGTATGCGTTAGTGTTGAGTATTGTCAAATTTAGTTTGCGCTCCAGTGGTGCTGTTTCCGTTTCTCCTGATGGGGGCAAATATTTTTTGTCCATACGGAGTTTCAGCAGGACAGTTTTGTTGTCAGGGACCAAGCAGTAAAGTACAAGGACAAATCTATTATTGTTTTCCAGAGGATATGTGTTTGGACAAATTAATTAAACACAGAATATTTAAAAAATTTAGCAAAGCGACCAAAAGAAAATGTCAACTAAAACAACAAACAGAAGTGACCTCTAACAATAAACACAGGACAATACAAAGGCTAGTCTAGAAACAAGGGATGGGAATCTGAGGGTGGAAAATAAGACAAATAACAATGAACAAAGCAAGAGAACTAAATAAAACCACAAGTTATAAGAAAAACACAGATGTTAAAATCGAAAAAACAAAACAAAAAGCTGTTTCCATTCGCTAGAAGTTAGAGCTATAAGTTGCGAGCTTTTCCAGAATCAA